GAGGAGATTAAAACCCGATTCTCTAGGCGCTATAATCATCAGCGTGCTAAATGCGAAGACCCAAAGATCATTCTAGAATGGTTTAATCATGTCCAGATCACTATGATGCAGCATGGGATTGCACCTGAAGATATCTATAACTTTGATGAAACTGGCTTTGCAACGGGCTTAGTAGCTACTGCTAAGGTAGTTACAAGAGCTGAGATGCTTGGTTGGCCCTTTCTTATTCAGCCAGGGAACCGCGAATGGGTTACATCTATAGAGTGTGTTAACTCTACTGGATGGGTGCTTCCACCATGCATTATCTTCAAAGGAAAGGTCCATATTGAGGGCTGGTATCAAGATACAGCCTTACCAGCAGACTGGCGGATCGAGGTCAGTGAGAATGGATGGACGACTGATCATATTGGATTACGATGGCTTCAAAAAGTCTTTATTCCTACTACTACCAGTCATACAACTGGTAGATATCGGCTCTTGATTCTTGATGGCCATGGGAGCCATCTAACACCTCAATTTGATCAAATCTGCAGTGAGAATAATATCATTCCACTCTGCATGCCTGCACATTCATCACATCTTCTTCAGCCTCTAGATGTTGGCTGTTTCTCTCCTCTAAAGCGTGCGTATGGTCGCTTGATTGAGGAGAAGATGCGACTTGGTTTTAATCATATTGATAAGCTTGACTTCCTTGAGGCCTATCCACAGGCTCGTACGGCAATCTTTTCATCAGATAATATCAAAAGCGGCTTCTCAGCAACTGGATTAATACCACTAAATCCAGATCGGGTGCTCAGTCAGCTTAATATCCAGCTTAAAACTCCTACACTAGCAGGCAGCCGATCAACAGATTCCATCCCAAAAATGCCTTATAATCTCAAGCAGTTGAAAAAGCAGGAAAGTACGCTTAAGAAGCTTCTCAGGGAGCGTACATACAGCCCTCCTACCCCTACTAAGGCCGCGCTAGATCAGCTTATCAAGGGGTGTGAGATGGCAATGAATAATGCTATCCTTCTTGCGAAGGAAAATCAGGATCTACGCGCCGCACATGAGAAGCAGCTTCAAAATAGGAAGCGATCTAGGAGGCAGATAGAAGCTGCAGAGGGATTCTCTATCCAGGAAGGGCAGGAGTTCATTCAACGCAGGAATCAGGCTGATGAAGCTATCCCAACTATCCCTACAGAGCAGGCAGTAGATGCAGAACAACGCCCTCAACGGGCACCCCCACGCTGCAGTGACTGCCATATTCTAGGCCATAGGCGATTGCAATGTCCGCAGCGCAAGAGTAACTAGTTTTAGTAAATAATTATGTTTTAGGGGCTCGGTTGCAGTGGCGGCTCGTTTACTGATTACGTTAGTGAATAGAGGATAACTAGTTAGTTACTTTTAGCTAGTTACAGAGTAATAGTCTGATTATGTAAGCATGCTTCCTGATTTTTTTTAAAAATTCTTAAATAGCACTTTGAAATTTATTACCTGTTACTAATCCTAGGTATTTTTAGTGAATAGAGCTAGTTTTAACTAGAAGAATGATATATAACTAATAATAATAATATTATTATTGTTATTCATGCTACTCTGATTGGCTGTTGCCATCCAGTTCTTCTATACTCTGTATGGTTGTTGCAGGAAAACCATGCGGGGTGTATCCCGCTGGGAGAAAAACCTGCCTGCTCTTGCTTTAGCGTCGCGCTCTCCATATATATCGCTGGTACCTGTGTCTTAAGACACCTCCTTCAATCCCTGATAAGCCTGTTCGCTAGTTGAAACTGGCTTGACAAATCCCGTCTCAACCACCACCTCGTCACCCCCTGGCTCCCTCCACCGTCGTCAACAGCTGCTTTATGTTGAGCCGGCCTCCCATCCTCAGCTCTGCTCTCGCATCATGGTATCGCGGACAGTGGATGAGAACATGTTTAGGAGTCTCATTGGCCTGTCCACAGGAGCATATTGGGGAGACTATGTCAGGGACACCTGCCCGATATAAGAAGTCTGCCAGACCGATCTTGCCTGTGCGAAGTTGGGTGAGGATCGAACTTTCCGCCTTGTGCAGGCTCTGGTGAAGTCTTAAGATTTGTCGGTTTGGGAGCTGGGGGACGGCCTCTGAGCGGCTCCTCGGGGCCGCCCTCCATCTCTCCGTCCAGCGCTTCTTAACTACCTCCCAGATCCTGCTTTTGTCTGTTCTTGGCTGTCGCTGCGTCACAGTCACCTCCAGAGGATCCCGCAGCCAGGTTGTCGGCCAGTCATGCGGGACTGGTGTGCTGTAGCCCACCACTGACGTGGAGACATCGATGTGTGGCCTCCCCAGGGTATTCTTGATTCTGTCGCACTTCCTCTTTATGAGCTCGTCTATGCCTCCTGCTGCGGCTCGACGCCGGTAGGCGACCAGCCTGCCCGTGAGATAGAGGTCGAGGGGCGGGACGTAAGCCAGCGTCTCCAGGGACGTGGAGGGAGTGGCTCGGAATGCTCCGTTGACCAGTCTTAAGCACCGATTCTGAACCCGACATGCTAGCCGGAGCAGTGCCCGCCGTTGATATCGCCCGTCAACCGGGTTGTGCCAGATGTGAGCTGCGTAGGTGAGGGCCGGCCTAACCACCATGGTGTACACCTCGCGTGCCTGCTGCAGGGGCAGTCCCCAGGTTGAGGCGGCCAGCCTGCGGAGCGCATTCTCTTGGGTTAGCATCTTCTGCTCAATATGCTTGGCGTGGGCATTCCACCTCAGCTTGGGATCGATATGCAGGCCCAGGACCCGTACGCTTTCGCCTGGGATGACTATTTTCGTCCCTAGTCTAAGCCCGCGACTGGTCTGATGCTTGCGGGTGGCTCTAGTCAGGTGTAGAAGCTCATATTTCTCAGGGGCGAACTTTGCCCCGTGTCGCTTTGCCCATTCTAGACAGCGCTCATGAACTGCTTCCAGCGTTGCACATGTTGATTTTGTGTTTGGTCCCCATGCAATCACGTTGACATCATCAACGAAGCCACTCCCATGGGCTCTCAGGTCGGGGGGATTACAGATCTCCACTAGCTTAGAGTTGTAGAATAGGAATAGGATGGGGGAGATCGGAGAGGCCTTGAGGGATTCCTGCTGGCACTGGCATAGGCTCAGATTCGCAGCCATCGAATACCAGCGTCGTCGTCCTGTCTGTCATGAAGCTCCTTATTCAGCCCACCACTGTTCTTGGGACACCCTTGTGAAGGAGGATCCTGATCAGAACATCCCGAATGACATGGTCGAAAGCGCCGGACATATCGAGTGAGAGTAGGGTGGCTGCCCCCTTGGCTGCCCACGTCGCACGAATCTGGGAGACAAGAAGGTCTAGGGCCGACTTTGTAGACCTGTTTCGGCGCCCGCCCATTTGCGTCTCCGGGAGGAGGCTGTGTGATTCTGCTAAGTCTTGTAAGTATCGCGCTGTGACTGCTTCCGTCACCTTGCCTAGTGTGTTCAAGAGGGCAATTGGTCTCCAGGACTTTGCTTGATTATAGCTCTCCTTCCGCAGCTTCTTCAGCACAACTGTCCTTGCCTGGCGGAAGATCCTAGGAGAGTACTCCCAGTCCCAGCAGGCCTGGGTCAGAATCTGCAAGGCTTTGATGAGTGGGTCTCCCATCGCCTGGAGGAAACCAGCAGGGATGCCGTCAATGCCCGGAGCTTTATTGGGGGCCATATTGCCCAAGGCTGCTCTGACCATCTCTTCGCTGACTCGGGAGGCACTTTCGATTTCCATTGTCCGAGTGAGTGGCGTTTCAGCCTCGGCGACGGGCTCAGGCGGGAAGAATTGATTGTGGAAGGCTGTGGCTTTCTCCTTGAAGGTCTCTGCGGCTGGCAGGCCTGGTCCTCTCTCGAGCCTGGGGACCTTTGGTAGCTCTGGTGGCAGGTGGCTTCTATCTTTGGCCCAGCGAACGAGGTTCCAGATCCCCCTTTCCCCGTCTTTTGCTCCATGCACCGCTGCGCGCCATGTCTCTCTCTTGGCATTGTGTATAGCTGCTTTCTTACATTCAGTCAAGCGGTTCACTTCCTCAGCGGGACGTCCTAGCCTTCTTGCTCGCCGCTCATCACGAACCCTATCCTCAACTTCCCTGGTCCACCATGCGCATCTGGGTGCACCTTCTTCACGGCCCTTTGCCTTAGGTGTAGATGTTTCTGCCAGGGTGAGAATGAAGTCTCTGAGGTACTCTGCGTACTCGTTGATTTGTTGGTGGGAGGAGAGATGCTGCGGGATGGTTAGGTGTTCACTCCCAGCCTGGACCAGCTCCTTATCCGCCAGCTTCCATAATCTTCGCGGCTTTACCGGATTAGCCTGCTTACTGACTGGTAAGGCCAGCCAGGTTGCTACTGGCCTATGGTCAGATCTGTGGTGAAGTGCCTCTTGGACATCGCATAGCAGAATGTGTTGAGAGAGGCTCTCAGATAGAAAGATGAGGTTGATTGTGGAGGTTGAGCTGCTCGCATTGTTTCTCCTCCATGTAACAAGACCTGAGGGAGTCGCGAGGACAAGGCCTGCTGCTCCTGTTATTCCTAGGAGGTCTTCTGCCATCCTGCTTGTCCTGGCGCCATTAGGCGCAGACCACAGAGGATGGTGGAGGTTGAAATCTCCAAGGAGAATGTGTTCACCTTCTCGCCGGAGGAGCTCTGGGAGCCTCAAGATGGGGCTGTCAGGGTTGTGGACATGGGATCCCATGGGAGGGTTATACACATTTATAATGGTCAGGGCGCGCGCTGGGAGTTGAATCGTGAGTACTGTGATATCAGTGAAGAACTCAACATCCCAGCAGTGGCTTGGCCATTTCTTGTTGATCAGGAAGCAGGCTCTTATGTGGCGATTGGTCGGGTAAAGGGGTCTAAATGGGCAGTTTGTTTCGCAGTACATTGCATGCATTCGGGGATTGTGTGCCGGCTCCTGTATTGTGAGAACATCATAAGTTGCTGTGTCTTGGTGTGCTGAAAGGAGGGCCATGGTGTCCTTTCGCTTGTGCACATTGTATTAGGCGATGCGCAGCTCCATTTAGTGGCCTGTGTTGGAGACTTGGGCGTCGCTTGGGGCGTCCAAGGTCAAGGCCTGGCTAGCCATGACTTCTAGCATGAGTTGATCTTCGGGTTCCTGAGTATTTGCCTGAGAGGCTTGGGTATGCTCAGCCTGGGGTGTGAAGAAGTTATTAAGTTGCCTGTCGTCAGGGGCAGCGAGAGGCTGTCGGGGACGACCAGGTCCTCGCGGTTTCTGGGCCACAGGATTGGAGATGTGTTCTCCAGATCTTTTCTTAGGGGGGAGAGGGTGTTGTGCCGATCCCTGGGGTTGCTTGGGCTCTGCGAAGCGCTTTAGCTTGGTCTCAAGAGCTCTCTGTGCCCTACTGTCCTCCTCCTGATGGGCTCTGCAGTCCTGGCTGCCCGCCATATGCCTGCTGGTGTAGTTGGCACATTGTTGCTTGGTCTTCTGGCCCTTAAGGGGGCAGTTCTTATATGAATGTCCGCCAGCCGCGCAGAATCTGCACTTCTTGTTGGCTCTGCAGCTGCGTGCTGCATGGCCATACCCCTGATAGTTGAAGCACCTGGTAATAAGGCATTGTGGACCAAACAGCTCCACTTCCTTGATCTCTCCATCAATCACAATCCCTTCTCTTATGAGTAGGTTGGCTCCCTCCGGGGAGCTGATATCCACTAAGAGGGAGCTGACTTTTCGTTTGAGACGGATGATCCTCTTCCTCTAATGGTATCCTAGGATCCGGGCCTGATCCGCGATAGCTGGGTTCTGGTCATAGATCTTCTGGATGCCTAGCGCCTGTTTCTGGTTGTCAAAAGCAGATACCTCAACCCCATGAACCCAGACGGTGTACTTTTTGGGTCGGAGTCGGGCGGAGCCACTGATGACCTGGATCCAGCCATTGACTTGCTCCTCTGCCTTGGTCTTAGTATCTGTGGAGTCTGCCATCAATATGAGGTCGCCACTTGGTAACCGTCTTGTGTTGAGGATCTTGCCCAGGCCCATCCCAGCCAGGCGGTCGTTGACCGCCTTTGTGATGTCGGTCGGGGTCCATGTTGAACTTTCAGCGGTTAGGTCGCCGGCCTGGATTCGGATCTCACGGTGTTCTCTTAATGGTATTGGCTTCTCTGTAGGGCTGGTGCCTTGGACTATTGATGCATAGGTAGGCGGGGGTCGCAGGAGGCGTTTTGGGGGGGCTATCTTGGTTCTTTGTTGCGTTGTTGACACGTTGCATGGTTAGGATGAGGTGGTTCAGGAGCGCAGTTTTCAGCTCTCCAATGAGCACTAGAAGGCGGCTTGCTTCATTTAGGGATTGAAGTTCAGCATTAATTAATTTGAATAGCTCAAGGAGCCTGCTTGTTTCCTGCGGGTGTTTTTGGGATGCACGTTGGGTGGGCAGGGGGTGCTGTTCCTCCCTTCCATAGCCTCTTTGGGCTCCTGGGCCATCACAACAGCCAGGACACCGGGGCAAGGCTATTACCTAGCTAGTAATATGAAAGTTATATATAAAGAGAATATATAATAAAAGTAAGGGAATACTTATATTATATACTAAATATAAAAATTATTAACTATCCTATACTAATATTAGTTAAGGGAATATTAAATAGATTTATAAGATATATTATATTCTAATTTAACTCTTATTGTCACGGGCTAGAAGCCGGTCAACCTATGACCTAGGTTTGGACGGTAAGAAATCGCTAAGGGGTTCTAACTAGGGCCGCAACGGCCGAACAAGAAAAGATGTGTGCGAACTGCAGGCGAGGTCAC